TCTAAAATATATTTTCCCGTGGACGGACGGATGTAGTCAGTATTAAAGAATTAGTTAACTTTTACAAGCCATAGCGTAGATCAGTAAAATAACAAAAACCAACAAATGAAATTTTAGGATTCAACGTTTGACCAATCAAAGGGAAGAGCGAAAATCTAAAATTGTGTTCTAGTTGAGCCGTTCCTTACCTATATGGATATAAGAGAATCGGTATTTAAACAGCGACAGAAGAGAAGCAACCTGGACAAAGCTTAAATAGCGACAGAAGAGAAGCAACCTGGACAAAGAAATTGATGCAGGAAGTAACACCCCGCCGATAGATAATTGTTTTTTTTTTTCCTACGTACAAGCTTCGCATACTAAAACCAAACACGCTCCCGAAAAGCTTACACGTGTGATTTACGATCGATGCTTGTCATTCTCCCACACCGACCTAATTGCTCTGACAAAGTCTCATCCTTTTGCTTTTCCACAGAGCTTAATAAATAGTTGTTATTGTTTCTTCTATAAAGTCATGTTTACCTTTATTCATATTTATATAGTTAGATGCGTTGCTATCTTAGAGCCGACGAAGTAAATCGTAGCTATCACACTCTCTGTATAAATGTGATAAGATAAGGAAAACATAGGAAACGTTTATAAATTTAACATGCTTTACTTTTATTTAATATTCATTATTTCGGAGATTAATCCATATTTGATCCCAATTCACACACAGGCACACACACACATATATGTTGAGATATTTTTTTTTATGTTTATACATTCTTTTTATAGATACAAATATTTAAGTAAATGCTATGTTTATAATAAACAGTATTAACAACATTTACCGGCCTGAATGTCCGAGAAATCGATTTTACTATTTTAAAAATACAATTCCCCATGATAAAATAAAAACACTAAAATCGACCTTGCTAACCGAAACGCACCTCCCTTGCTTAATCGGTTAAGGCACGTCAGGCTGTATGACGGTTCCGTATAGGCTACAGGTTCGATTCTTGTCGGAGGACGCATATTTTCTATGAAAATTTCTCGTATGTGTACAAATATTTGTTTGCCCCAACTATATATATATATATATATATATATATATATATATATATATATATATATATGTGTGTGTGTGTGTATAAATAAAAAGAAAGAACTGTAAGATATATAATCCGGTGTTCTTATAGATATTTTTATTTTTACAAAATAGTGCTCAATGTAAATTTACAGAGTCTGTCTATATTTCTGAGATGCGGTATTATGTACAGTATTTACATTAGTCGGACTATTGTCCTCATCTTTGTCGCCATATTTGTCACAACGTTTCGGCCGTTGTACGCTCCGGCCTTCTTCAGGTGGTAGGAATTTCGAACTGAACCCTTTATTTCGATCACTGGGGTAGACTGTTCTAGTTCCACGTGCCATGTTTGATGGATGTCAGTTATCAGTTATCTCCTGCTAATTTTCCCTCTGAAAGTTCTCCACTGCCTTAACCAGGAATTGAACTCACCTTCTTTGGGTCTGTCACTGGATCTAACTAACGCCTTTATCCACTGTGCCATGTGTCCTCAAGATGAGGACAATAGTCCGACTAATGTAAATACTGTAAATTTACAGAGCATTAATATCATAAATTAATTGATTTAAAATATGTTTTTTTTAAAGTTACTCCAAAATTCGATTGAGGATGAAATGTAACTGATGTCTTTAATTTAATTACAAAATTAAATTCGGGGCTTTTAACTTCCATTTTTGAAACATGGTTAGAACTGTGTGGCGATAAAAAACATATTTTAAATCAATTAATTTATTATATATATATATATATATATATATATATATATATATATATATATATATATATATATAGAGATAGAGAGAGAGAGAGAGAGAGAGAGGAGATATACATATACATGCACATCCAGGCGTAGATACACACATACACATGCTTAAGCACACACACATACATAAAGAAGAAGATGGTAAAAAGCGCATATTTTTTTATCTTAATATAAATGGAACGAAAATTAGAAAATCGTCAGACAATTGCTGATATCTCCTGACGAGTGGATCGAACGATTATACAAAGGTTCGTCTATAAAATTCTGTAGTCGGGGTGCTAAATATGACATTTATCAGCTAAGTGACAAATTCTATACTTGTATTAATCTTATACACACTCAGAGGGGCGCATGGCCGCACGCGCGTAAATGCAGACATGCACAAACACACACACACTCGCGCGTACACATACTCTAGGAAATAAAATTGCATCAATGAAAAGTGCATATAAGAAAGAAAAATCGACAAGTATAATCAATCTTTTGCTGATAGCTTTGACGAGGGGGCGGAGTGATTCCGGATTCCCGGTGAGCCCGTCTACGAAACTCTGGATTCGGGATGCTGAAGCTAACATCAATCAGTAAATGACAAATATTTTATTTATATTAATTTATATATATATATATATATATATATAATTTCTTCTAAATACTTTCGGTTTTCAAAAACCATGTTCAAACAATTAAAAACGAAAAAAATGACACGAAACAGACGCATGATTGAGAAAGATTAATTTGTTTTTACGGCTTATCAACCCTTCCTGGGTTATTTAAAGCGAAATAAATTTTGAATTGTAAGAATAATTCTTATGTCTGCGTCCTTCCAATTATCTAACATGAGAGCTGGATGAAAAATCATGTGAAAAAAAATCTCTACTTTTCTTGCCAATACTTGAAATGCTATAATCGGATTGGCTTGCAAGTTTTCCATATATACATGTATACTTTTTACGGCTTATCACCCTATGTGAGTTACTTAAAACCGAAACATATTTTAAATTGTAAAAACAATTCTTATTTATTTATTTTTTTTTTTTTTTGCGAGAGAATTTTGCATTAAAAATCTTTTCAGATACATTCCGCTTATTTAACCCATAGCTAGGGGTAGGATATGGATTGATTCCTTTCCCAAGAGTATGTGTGCGTAAGTGAATGTAATGAACCCAACTGGAATTAAAACTCGGTTCTTTGATTTCTTATTCCATGACACTATGAATTACAACAGCTTCACATACACAACTGACGCCTGAAGACTCAATAGCAGGAAAAAAGAAAAAGAAATGACACAACATCTACTGACACGTGATTCACTGTCAAAGGCACACAATGCGTACATAGTCACACAACCCTGTTAACCTATGAAAAATTCTTTGCTAACGGCAACTGAGCAGAGAAAGCGCTCAAAAACATTGAACACTTTATGTTGAAACTTTGCCTGGAAAGCAGGAAAATGGTCAAAATTGAAGAAAAAAAATTAATAACATACATACATACATACATATATATATATATATATATATATATATATATATATATATATATATATATATATATATATGTGTGTGTGGGGCTTGTGTATGTTTGTGCGTGTATGCGTATGAAAGCGAGAGAGAGTTTGTGTATGTCAAAGAGAGAAGTAAAATGATAGAGACAGAAATAAAAAACTGAGAAGTGATTATATATATATATATATATATATATATATATATATATATATATATATATATATATATATATAATAGGGGCAGTAAGTGTTGGTGCAAATAAAATAATGCTCGATGTAAAATAACTTATAAAATTTAAGTTATATTTATTTTAAGTATGTCTATATATATATATATATATATATATATATGATAACCAGACAAACACACACACACACACATATATATATATATATATATATATATATATATATATATATATATATATATATATATATAAGTTTCTGGGATCAATACGGAGCGACGACAGACTTAAACGCAACCATCTTGCCATCTGATAAATGATTCATGACGTTATTGCCTGAAGATTGCGTTCAAGCTTGAAACAGACCATAGCTGTTCGATGTTGACCTCAGTGTACACTGTTAGATTTAGATACGCTGTTCTTTCTGATAATATATTTATCCATATATATATATATATATATATATATATATATATATATATATATATATATATATATATATTAGAATATTACACCGAAAACATGAAAAAAACGTTGTCACAATTGTAGTCGTGTTTCGACGCCTATCAATTCATGTCATCAGGCGATATTGGATATTTCCTCCCATCTCATTGTTGGATATATGGATATATATATATATATATATATATATATATATATATATATATACGCAGACGCACGTATATGTGTGTGTGTGTGTGTGTGTGCGCGTGTGTGTGTGTATGTGTGTATTTGTGCAGCAATCCCTCATTTATACAAGTTTCATTAAAACGACTGACAAAGTTTTTTAAGTTTAGTTTTTATTCAAGAAGAATATTTATGGGATAACGTGCTCATTATCAGAGATAGAGCGTGTGTAAATATAAAAGTGGACATAGAAGTCAACACTTAGAGGCGACAGGCTGTTTTATGCTAGACGCAATCGTCAGGCCTGACGATTGCGTCTAGCATGAATCAACCTGTCGCCCTAAGTTGTTCACTTTTATTATATATATATATATATATATATATATATATATATATATAAAAAAAGCAAAAGAATAAGAACAATTTGATAATTTGTTCCAACTTTTAAATCAGACAAGATTTGTTGAGTTGCTATGTGGCTCCTGATTTTGGCCTAAAATGAAATTGATATATGGGGGTATTTCGTTATTAGACATAGATTGGAGCAGACGACAAGTGAATAAACAATCAAATATTAAATAAAAATATTTCACTACGACGTTATTTACCAGACGCGCTGAAGGATGGCTAATTTGTCCTCATCACTGTGACAACGGCGATAAAAATAAACTTCGGATTACCACCATGTGTAAGTAGTTCTGTTAATAATGGCGTGGCTTTATGATGAGAAGACGCATTTATTTTTACCCCCGCAATATTTCTTTTTCAACATAATCTCCTTCCCTGTCATTCAATGGTAAATATGAATCACATCGACCGAATATGAAAAGTTCAACTCGCAATTCGGCTTACGGCCGCATCACATTGAAACACAGGTTCCCCGACCGATCACCGAAGTTAAGCAACATCGTGTTTGGTCTGTACCTAGGTGGGTGACCGTTTGGGAATATCTATAAACTTGGTTGCGCGGGTGGTGAAATGGATAATGGCTCGGAATTTGTTAATCGAATCGATCAGCTCAAAATTAAAGGTATGGATTTATTGATCAACATATGTAAAAGATGGAAGCCAAATAGTTTCGATCAAGATAGTCGCGACCGGTTTGAGGTTTAGAATAAAAAAAAAAAAATTGTGTACATGAATGAATTAAATTTGAAGTCCCACGGTATTTTAATTATACTTATTTTAATAAGATATATTTGAAATCTCTGATGCTGCGTGATTACAACGATAGAAAACTTTTCTGGAGCTTAAAACACAGACACACACACACACAAACACAAGTTTATTTCCATATTTGGATATGCTAATCAAAAAGTACGCATAACTGACTTTAAGCAGTATGAAGTCATCTTTATTGATCGCTTTTAACAATTTCCTCTTAACTGTTGTTACTATTCCAAATGTTTGTAAAAGAATAAAGACTTGCATTTCTACGTAAAATTTCCTTGTGCATTTCTTTAGTTTTTTTTTTCCCCCATTAAGATATTTCCGCAGACAACTACTTTAGTAAGGTAAGAATTTTGTATTTGATATCTCTTGTAGGATTCGAGTAAAAAATCATTTTGATCTTTCTATTTAAGCATCTTTTCATTACGTTTTGTTTGAATTTAAAATATATTTTAAATTTAAGAAAAAAAAATCAATACTTGATTTACTTCCCTTAGATTACAACCGCAAATTAGATTTAAACTTCTAAGAGTTATTTCCCTTGAAATGCATCGCGTTTGCAAAGTATACAAAATGAATTCCTGTTTTATGAATTATTTCTTGTACAAATGACAAAGTTGTTTGTGAAGAGAAAAGATATTCTTCGAAGTAATTTGTTTATAATTATAATAATTTCAAAAAATTTTACTCGTTTGTTTTTCCTGATGTAATTTTTTTCCAATAGTTTTTGCTTGTTAATTACGTAAAAGATTTTTTTTGATTTATGCTAAAACATATCGCATCGCAAAGGGACAAAAATAAACATTTGAGAAAAATAAAAACATACGAATTGGTTCTATAGTATTTGGTACTTTCGATGTGAAAAGAATGTGTTTGAATAAAATTAGGGTCTAAGAAATTTCAGGGATCAGAAATGCAAAATATTGAACAAAGGTTCTAGAGAAAATGAAAAAAAATCTAGAAAAAAAGATTTATAATTATTTTTTTTTTTAATTTTAAAGCTAAAAATAGTTTGATATATTTAAAAAAAATATATATTTATCCAAAGAGATTCATTTGAAAAATACAAAACGTATTTGTAAAGTTAATTTAACCTGATTTAAAAAAAAAAAAAAAAAAAAAAAGAAGACTTTCAGCAACTATTTTTTACCAGATTCATCAACCAAGATACCGGTTGTTCGGTCTGCAAAATCTTTGGGATTTGCTATTAACTCTAGAATTTAATAATATGTATTTCTACATCAATTATTCTCATTTCCATCAAATATATCAGCCAGTGAAGATATCGTTGTCTGTTACCTCCCAATGTTTTTTATGCTTTCACATATGCCATGTCATAATCTTATAAAGACGATGGAGATAGATTAACGAATAATATACATATGATAGATAACTATTTTATTTTATTTTTTTTATAAACTCCCGTTACTAAATATAAAATAAATAATTTGGATCCATGTTAAATGGAATAAAATTTTACAGAAATATCAAAAACAAGTTAAACGATCGAAAGTTCATTTTAAATGACATTAGCTTTTAGGTTTAACTGTTGTAGGAAATCTGGTTATATAGAGCAGCACAATGGTAAAAAAAATCGGGTTTCTAATTGTACCTTATACTTTCAAAATTGCCAGAGGAGGAAAATATTCCAATTCCCAAAAAGTAATTCTAACCAACACATTTTGCAGAATACTGCCCACACATACACGTGCATGCATATGCGTGTGTTTGTGTGTGTGTGTTGTGTATATATATATATATATATATATATATATATATATATATATATATATATATATATATATATATTCTGATGTGAGAGAGATATACATATGATGATATAGATATTAATAAACTAAGATAGATCGAAAAAATAGGCTGAGATAGATAGATAGATAGATAGATAGATAGATAGAGAGAGATAAAGAGAGATGTGAAAGAGATATACATATAATATAGATATTAATAAACTAAGATAGATAGATCGAAAAAATAGGCTGAGATAGATAGATAGATAGATAGATAGATAGATAGATAGATAGATAGATAGATAGATAGATAGATAGATGTATCAAAAATTAAAACAAATTTGATTAAATTCAACCGACATATGTCGGTTGAATTTATAAAAAAAATATTTATAAAACTCAATAAAAGATTAAACAGACTGGCATTGTCGTTTGAATTTAATGAAAATTTTTTCATGATTATTATTATCTATCTATCTATCTATCTATCTATATATATATATATATATATATATATATATATATAGGGAGCGTATCTTCATTCAAACATGTTTCATTGAATAATATAGACATATTATGTCTATTTTTATACTGATTCTTTCCAGTTCTCTAATCAATTTCTTGATGTTAAGATGAAATTCATTAAGGAAGGCACCGTAGTTTTTTCCTACTCAAGTACTTTCGATCTTTGATAAAATCTGCCTTTCGTTGTTATGGCAAATTAAAAAAAAAATCGTGAGCGTCTGCTGTTTTATTTAAAAAAAAATTTAAAGAATGTATCCGTTGTAGCTATGGAACGTTTTACAAAACTAGCGTCTCAATATATATATATATATATATATATATATATATATATATGTGTGTGTGTGTGTGTGTGTGTGTGTGTGTGTGTGTGTATTTGCGTGTGTGTTTGTGTATAAAATATAATTTTATGATATGCTAAGGTAAAAGTGCTCAAGAAGTGCTCAGTATCACAGAGCCTATGTAAATATAAAAGTGGATACCAAGGTCAAAACCGAGTGGCGATTGTCTGTTTCATGCTCGAACGCAATCTTTAGGCCTTCTATGTCCCGTGTCCTTTCAGGGCGTTGACGATCATGGCTCTCCACAATTTCCTCTCCTATGTAGCTCTTAGTAAATTTTGTCCTTTTGTAATCTCTCCTAATCCCTATTCTGTCATCCATTTAATCAAGATCGCTAAGTAGGTTATGCGTTGTTTTCCTCTCGACTTCAATCTATCTTGTGGCTATCAAATTTTCCAAGCCTTCTTTCTTATAGATGTTTACTATATAGTTTAACTGGTACAAGGTTGTAATCTTGTGCGCCCCAATGTGGCTCAGCAACATTTCAACAGTAACAGATCCGCGATCTAAGCTTACTGACTATTCATTCGTAATTATCATGATATATAAAGATTATTTTTGAGAGAATATATATTTGAAATTATTAAAACAGTATTTAAATGAACTGGCGAGCACCTAAAGTTGTAGACTTGCCTGGAAAAAAAAAAAAAAAAAAAAACAAAGCGATCAAAAACCACCCACTTAGAACCAACATATTAACTTATTTTTTTGACATTGATATTTGCAAATGAAATACAAAGCAAAATTCTGAAAGAAAAAAAATCATTTAAAAAAAAATAATATTAATAAAAAATAAAAAAGGAAGGCTGAGAAAAAAAAATATGTAAAAGATAAGAACGTGAAATCCAACTCAGTCTGGGTGGTGTCTCCAAATTTGAATAAAGTATTGGGCATAACACGAACCCGCATATTTGAAATTATTTGAAATGATATTTAGAGATGTCGGAAACTTTGTGAAGGAAAAAAGAATAAATAACCGTCACAATAAATGTACAAGAAAAAAAGAAAAAGAAAAAAAAAAAAAAAAAGAAAGGAAAAAGAAAAAGGAAAAAGAAAGAAACAGTACAGAAACTAGTACCGATTGAATATCCCTGAATTTACGCGTACGAAACAAAGCCTTACGGGAAATCTTTCTAAAAAAACAGGCAATTAAAAACAACTATATTGAAATTAAATTAAAAATAAGAACAGACGTGTTTGCAAGATGAGCCACTATTGTCATTTCTTAACAAGCAAAAAGGTTTTCCCCACATCTTACAGCTTGGAAATATTTCATAACTTTATTAGCAAAAAATTGTATATTTACACTATTTAAGAATTGTCTGTTAGGTTTAAGTGGCTTTTATATTAAAAGTATTTTTTTTTTCCATTTGGAAATCTCAATATGTCGTTTTCTTAATCCTTTTATTTATCAATATACATCCATCCATATATACGTACATACATACATGGAAGTCAACTCGTGACCAAGTAAGATTACTATATATATATATATATGATACATATATATATACATATATATATATATATATATATATATATATATATATATATATATTCTCGACCCAACACACTTATAAAAAATCAAACCAAATGATCACGCATTTTTTTTCTATAATCATGTTTTGCTCTGACCGGGAAACATTTAACAGCCTTCGAATATATATATATATATATATATATATATATATATATATATATA